AAAAATATATATTTTATATAAAAAATTAATTTTAAAATTCAGCTTTCATTAAATTTTATTATATAGTAATAATTAAAAAATTATAAAAAAGTTTAATAAAATCTAGATTTATATTATACTATTTATACTAAATTTAAAATAATTAATCTTTAATCTAAAAAGTTACAGATATTTGACTTTTCATTATTTCTATTTTAATTAATATTATTTTAATTTGATTATCAAGATTTAATTTTTAAAATATTTGGACTGATTTACAAATTTTAATAAATAATTTGTATTTTATGTTTTATTAATCAAAAGTATAAAAGTATAATTAAGATTTTTTTAAAATAAATAAATTCGAAATAATTCGAGAATTTAACAAAATCATATTTATTATAGTCTAATATTTGTTTATTAATTATTAAGAATTCTTGAAATTAATTCATAAAAATATTATATTTTAAAATTATTTTTGACTAATTATATGTTGAAATTTAGCTAGATATTGTTTATTTTATGTAATCACCTGCACATTGGATTATATATACCATATAAAAAAATATTTTCAAATATAAATACATACAAATAGAAAAATTAAAGGATTAAAAAATTAATTATAATATACAATGTTAATATTAATTTGAATCAAAACTTGATTGCAACTTATGCAGCTTCACCACCGCCATAATTTCCTCAACCAATTCATGAAAACTATACTTCTGTCGCTCCGATTCCATCCGTGCACTAATCTTTGCCGTAGTCGGAATACTAAACAAATTGGATTCTTTGTACATGATCGAGATTTTTGTGTCCAGATTCTGAACATACGTCTGAACATCTTGCGTAGGATACGTGAACTCGTGTAGGGAAATATTTTGATGGGTGGAGAAAACGTTGTGTAATGAGATGTACCCATCGATTCCAATCTCGTTTTCGTCGATATTCAGTGTACGAAGACGCGTGTTTGTTTTTAGTGCTTGCGAGAGATACTTTGCACCATCGTCACCGATTGCGTTTCCGCGCATTATAAGTTTTTCTAATGATGAATTCTCCTCAAGATTTGTCAGTGCAAAGCCTAGTGAAGGTCCCCATCGTTTGTTTCCTTCGCCTCGTAGGATTAATTCACGAATAGACTTATTTTCTTTAAATAATATCCCGATATGTTCACATGCTTTTTTAGCAATTATTGGGACCATCGGATTCGGTCTTCCGTCGATTTG